ACTTGTATAAAGTTTTCTAAAATGACAAGATTTTAAGATTGTGTGTGTGTGTTTTTTTTTTTTTACAGGTGCAGAATAAATTGTGGGTTTTTTTCCTCCCCCCTCTCGCTTGATCTTTCCTTTTTCCCATTTTTTCCCTTGTTGTTTGCAAAGTTGAATCTGGGGTCAGGAGTTCTAATTGTAACCTCAGACTGGAATTCCAGATGGTGCGCTCAGGACTGGAAGCAACTCTCAGTTCATCAATTTCATGGGCCTATGTATCTGCTCTGGCCACGGCCCGGCCTCCATCCCCACTGTGGCATTAATGCAGAACAAATTGAGACATATCCTCTATATAATTAGTTCCAGAATTTAAAAAGATTTACGGTATAATAATAGAGGCAGCGCTGCGGAATCCTTTCTTTGGGGACTCTCTGGAAGCTTGGGGACCATCTCGCAGAGGCATCAGAACAGACGGGTAACCTTCGTGGCTCCAGACAAGGGGAGAAGGAGAATTCTGCACAGCGTACTAGGTCTTTCGCACTGGTCTCAAACCAACCCCCAAAAGGAATCAATCAGAGAGCGAGTTCAAACCGTAGGTGGGAAATGGGTTTAAAATATCTGAGTTAATATTTAAACGAACTGAGGAAGTCAAGGAATGGGCCATCACAAAAGTCCTCGCTCTACCCCACGCCCCACCCCAGCTTTATATATATGTTGTTATTGTTAAGTGCGCTCGAGTCGGTCCAACCCTTTGCGACTGGTGAATTTGAACCGCCGACCTTGCGGTTCAAATGGACTTTGCAGTGCAGACCCTTAACAGAACTGAGAGAACCACAATGTAGGCGGTTCAAAATCACCAGCTGCTCCTTGGAAACCCTATGCAGGGTCGCTGTGAGTCAGAACTGATTCCATGGCACTTAGCAACAACAACAACACTCACACATATATATGTATACGCAATTTAAAGAAATGAAACTACATTTTTACAGCCAGCTCGGGGCTGTGAATCCTCGGGGCTGCAGGTGGCCTGCGGTGGGCAAAATCCTGTGAATTGGAGCTGGCGGGAAGGGGAGGATTTAACAGCAGTTGCGTTAATATGTGCTGGAGGTTTGGAGCTCAGGTCTGGGAGCCAGCAGCTAATCGAGCCCCAGCTCCTCTTCTGCGGCAGGCGGTCGAGCCACTCACGATCGCCGTTTGCAGTCCCAGGCGCGGGCAGGCAGACCCAGACCTTGACAGATCGCTGTGCTGCGGCGTGTTTATTCAGTTGTCGGCGGCCTCGGGGTGACGCCCGGAGCGCAGCCCGGGCGTGCGCGCTGGTCCCTGGGGCAGCGGCCTTAGCCACCTGGCTCCGCGGTACGTCAGATACAACAGTCAGCGTCTGGGTGAACTCGCGGGTCTGCTGAGGGTCAAAAGGTCCTAACTACCCCCTCCCATCCAGCCACAATTTTTTGATCTCGCAATAACTAATGCATCTCTCAGACCCGGAGGCGCTTTACTAATGTGGCAGAGAGCCTCTTGGTTTCCTTTCCCTCTATTTTTCTCTTTGGCCCCCACCGTGGGTGGATGGTAGTGGGTAACGCAGCGAGCTGTAGGTACAGAGACCTGGGTTTCGGCTTTACCACTAATTTGCTTCGTGTCCTTGGGCAATAATAGTAACACGTTTTGTAACATTTATTGAGTGCATAGTCTAACACTATTTTAACATGACATGTCTAAGAGTGGGGCTCTCATATCCCATTTGACAACAAGGAAACGAAGAGATTCGACTAGGGTTACAAGTCCTTGATTCTAGGATGGAGCAGAGGTTCACCCTCTCCTTACCAACCCTTGTTTTTAATCACTGCGTTCCACAGCTCACGCATCCTCTCACTGCGCCTCAGTTTCCTTCTCGGTGGCATCAGGTGTTAAATCTCTTGCTCTGAGAATAGGCGATTCAAACTGGGATCCTCTTTGTCTAAGGTCTCAGCACAGACCGGAATGGGAAGTTCAATTTTTTTTTTTTAAAAGGCAACGGCCAGTCTACTCAACCTTCAATTCCTCGGGCCCTCAGGGGGACCTCAAGCTAAGGGAAACGCGTGAGCGCCCCTGCTGGTCAGGGCAGTCCCGAGGTGCGACCTTCCACGCGATCCAACTCAGGGCACCTGAGACCTGGACGGCGGGCGCGTCCACCTAGGCAAACGCTGGACTGTTAGAGAAACTTATCCAGAGAAGGGCGTAGGAGTCAGGGGGTTGGGGTGCCCTGTGACTGCGGAAGTATTCGGTGTCTCTCCTTGGCTCTTGGACCCAAGTGTATGGCGGGGTAGGGTGGGGGGATATTCAGAGGCCACTTCTGTCTTCCTGGGATTTTTGACCTCCAGAAGACTCTGGACTTGGCAAAACTCACCAATCTGTTTCTCAGGCTCCAAGGTCCGAACTGGGAGTGCATCACTCTCCATCCCCACCCCTATCCCAGGAAACAGTGGAGAAAGAAAGAGTTCCAAATTAGCCCAATTCCTATTTTCTTCCATTTCATCCCAGGCAAACACCTGTTGTTTTTTTAAAGATTAAAGGCAGAGATTTAAGCTCCTTTGCTCTACATGGGATGCAAAAGCACACAAATTCACATTCAAGCTAGCTGCCTTCCAGACGCCCTCCTCCCCACAAATAACTTGTAAAGGATGATAAAATATAAACAAGCTAGACTTTGTCGTTTGGAAATTAAAATTCCAGTCTGCTCCAAGAGCTCCCAATTCCCCTTTAACGCCTGAATCCTAGTTAAGGAAAACGACTTCGAAGTTGCAATACAACTGTGTGGATGGAGGTGGAGACGCGGGTCTGGGGCGCTCTTGGGGCAATTTGACCACGAGATGTTTTGTCTTGTAGGACTTCACTCCTTGCAGAAGACCAAACGCAAGTATTCTCCAGTCTCGCAACAAGTTTCAGATGGACATGCGAGAGATGAGAGGTTTCGAGAGTTTAATTCTTTTTAGAAAGTTTTAAAGTGGAAACACGGGGAAATCAAACACTAAAAGTATCGCAGGCATGCGTCCACGACAGCGAAGGTGGCCGGCAAAAAGATAGCACATTTCCCCAACGTTGCCTTCTGGGTCTCCTGAGTCTTCCTGGATCCACTACTTCAAGAGGAGGGAAATGCTTGCATCGCGTAGTTCCTAAATCGTCACTTGCTTCGGGTCCACAGCCAGAACTCACGGCAACTGCGCTTACTCCGTACAAACTAAGTAAAACCAGGGTGTTAGAAATGGAGAATAAGCGAAGGCCTTTTAAGAGCTGAGTTTCTTAGTGCAAACAACACTGTCTTAATTGATGCTTTACAGAGACTTAGCTGGAAAGCCGCGGGCCCGGTTCCCGGCCAGTTTGCTGCAGGCCTCCGGGCGGCGGGCCACTTCCCGCCCAACACGCCTAGCGGTTCCAGTCTGTGCCATCGCCGCTGCTTCCTGATGCTACGGAATATTTGCATGCGCCCCTGAGACTCACTGCACTTGGCGGCCCTGGCGTTTCTTCTTTGCATATGAGCTGATTTCCTAAACCCAGATAGTTCCTGACGACTTTGAAAGAACCAATCAAACAAAAAACTACCCTGCTCTGGAGTTCTGGGCTCCCAAAAAGAGACTAGGTGGTGGCTGGCGTCGGATTTGGCGAAACCCGTGCTTCCAACGGTGTGTGCACTGCCTCCGACTGAGGCGACTGCTTAGTCCTAGGCGCCTCCTGGCCAGTCACTTCGCGTCCAGGATTGTACTCCTGACCATGAGCCGAACTAAACCTCCTCCCGCGGAAACTACGCCAGGAGCTGTCCTCTTCCTGCTGGCTTCCTATCTAGTGTCCCTCACCCTCCAACTGGTCTTAAGAACGCTCCTGTCCGAATAGAAGCAGGCTCTGTGCATTTCCCATGGGTATTCTTCACTTCCAAACTAGCTAGTGTTTTCCCGTAGAATTCGATGTGCCCCACTAGAAAGAGTAAGGAATGGTAACGATTTTCAGTAAGTGGCAACTTCCCTCCTCCGGGTACAAAACTTTCCTAAATCAACAACCACTAGACAATCAAAACATGCCCTATATATCTCAATTTATGAAAACACCCACAGTCACCCGGTTGGGGTACGTTCGTTTCGAGTCCTGGGATTCCGGAACCCGCAAGGGGCCGCCATTTCACCAGTGACCCCAAGATTATGGCCACCACTCCAGCCTGCTGGCTTTTGAACAAGAGCTGGACTTGGCGGCGCAGAACTAGGGTATCCACTACTTTGAAGTCTAAGAAAGTTCTCAGCGCTTTCTCGAAGTTCCCGCCCTCGCCGAACCTACCTACTCCTCCCTACAACCCTCCCTTTCAGATTAACACCCCTGTACCCACCCCCTTTGGAGTCCTGATGTGGCGCTGCAGGATAATGGTGGACTGAAAGGTCGGTTTGAACATCAAGGGCCGTGGTTCAAACTCACTAGCCGTTCCTCCTCGGAAACCCTATACAGGGTCGCTATAAGTCAAAACTGACTCGACAGCACTTAACAACAACAACTTATGCCTTTCGAGTCCTGGTGTGGCTCTGTGGGATAATGCACTGGACCCCAAGGTGGAACCACAAGAGCGGCGGTTCAAACTCACCGGCTGCTCCTCGGAAACCCTACACAAGGTTGCTATGAGTCAGAAACGACTCGACAGTATCTAACAACAACAACCCACCCCTTTACACTGGGTTGCTGAGGGACGCGTCCTGCTCACCTGAAGGGATTCTCAGTGCTGCGGGGTGCCCACACTCTTGAAGTCCAAGAGGGAAGGGGGAGCTGCGCCCCACTGACTAGCTGAGTTCGAGCGAAGGGAGAGGAGGGTGTCTCTGAAAGAGACTCTCCCTCAGGACCGCCCCCACCCCTCTGCTAGGGCGCCCGCTCCCCCCGCCCCCAGGAGAAGCGCGCTCTCCGGTCGGGTTCCAGCAGCAGTGTGAATGGAGCGGTCGAGCCTCCTAGCTCCTCCTCCTTCCCCGCCGGCCCCTCTTATTTGAGCTTTGGGAAGCAGGGGGCAGCTAGGCAGCTGGGGTAAGGAGTTCAAGGCAGCGCCCACACCCGGGGGCTCTCCGAACCCCGACCGCCTGCCCGCTCCTCCCTTCCCCTTCCCGCCCTCCCTCCCACTAACTCACCCACCCACCCAGCCAGAACCAGGACGGCAGCCCAGGACCCGGGGCCCGCCGCCTCCTCGCCGCGATCCTGGACTTCCTCCTGCCGCAGGAATCGGCTTTCACGTGTGCCCCGGAGCCGGCGTCTCCGCGGGCGCACCCGCCAGGACCCGGGTGCCTTCAGCAGCCAGATCAGTCAGGGGTCCGGGGTCCGGGAAGCATCTGGGCCAAGTTAGGCTCAGTCGAGCCGAGCGCCGCACGTCTGCAAGGTCGGAGGAACCGCGGGTCGTGCGTGGCTGAATCGCAGCAGATGGGCTCCGACGTGCGGGACCTAAACGCGCTGCTGCCCGCCGTACCCTCGCTAGGCGGCGGCGGTGGTTGCGCACTGCCGGTGAGCGGCGCCGCTCAGTGGGCACCGGTCTTGGACTTTGCGCCCCCGGGTGCCTCGGCTTATGGTTCGCTGGGAGGCCCTGCGCCGCCGCCTGCTCCTCCGCCACCCCCTCCGCCGCCGCCTCACTCCTTCATCAAACAGGAGCCGAGCTGGGGCGGCGCGGAGCCTCACGAAGAGCAGTGCCTGAGCGCCTTCACCGTCCACTTCTCCGGCCAGTTCACCGGCACCGCGGGAGCCTGTCGCTACGGGCCCTTCGGTCCTCCTCCTCCTAGCCAGACGTCCACCGGCCAGGCCAGGATGTTCCCAAACGCGCCCTACCTGCCCAGCTGCCTCGAGAGCCAGCCTGCTATTCGCAATCAGGGTAAGCTGTCCGCGGAGCGCCCCCTGCTCGCGGGGTGGCGGCCCTGGGGCTGTCGCGGCGCGCAGGCTCTCCCCTCTCCTGCCCCTTCACTTCTATCCGCCGCCTCCCTGAAGGCTGCGTGGGTAGCGGAAGCGATGACGGGCCGGGGAGGCGAAGGAAGGACGGGGAGAAGGAGCAACCGCTTGCTCTTGGCTCCATCCATAGCAGAGCGGGAGCCAGCCGGGCTGTTCGCTTGAACCGGGAGGCTATCAGGGGTCTTCTCGTACCTTGAGAGAATCTGAGTCCCCACGAGGGAACCGGTGCCGTTTCAAGCTCCGCCTAAAAAAGAAGTTTTGCCGCTTTGAGGCACAACCAAGTAGTGCCCAGGAATTGGACTTTAGGGTCTGGACTTGATTCAGAGTTTTACCAGCGCGGAATGGGCAGCCTCTGTTGCATCCGTTGCGCCCGGATGTTCACACGATGTTGGCACACAGTAGGCGCATAATAGGGATCGTGGACATAAAAATAAGTAAATGAGTGGTCCAGACACTACATAATTAATTAATATTAATTTCCTTGTTGTCTGCGTATAGCGCCCGCGTAAAGCGGTATCGAAGCAGATCTCTCCCGGGGGTTCTAACTAAGGCGGTGAGGCGCAGAGCTACTGGGGACACCGGGATGGATGAGAAGTAAACATTTGATTCCGAGTTCAGCGATATCGGGTTCCACCCAAGATAGTGGAATGAAGCTGGAGCATTGGCTTTCCAGCCTGCCTCGAGCATCTCCTCGTCACGTAGACCACGGGCTAAAAGACCCGGTGGTGAGAACTTGTTAGGTGCCACCGAGTAGGTATCGATTCTTGGTGTAAACTAAGACGGCTTATATGCAGTCTCCAGTACTCCGTCCTCTTTCCCTGGGCCAGCACGGAACGGCCGGTGCCGATCCCCCGCTTCCGTCCCCCAGTAGTGCAGTAATTGAATTTCGTCTAATTGAATTTCGACACTGATAAGAATCTAAACAAAAAAAGCTTGACTTGATATTTTAGGAAACGCTTTGCTAAAGTGATGGGGGATATTATTCTAGGATCAAAAATTCGCGCAGGCTTTGGGGCTGTGATGTTTCTGAAATGCTTGGGGTGGAGGAACTGAATGTGTAGAGTGTACAGGAGATGTTGGACTCCGAGTCTCAAGACAAGCCTGGAGATTGAGTCCATCCACAAAGACCTATGATGGAGAAGCGGAAACTCGACTTTTCAGGACTTGAGATTCTAAGTACCGGACTATGGTGACCCACTGAAAAATGACTGGGCCAGAAGAAACATAGAGACTGACACGCAGAGGTGTGAGGAGAACTTGTGTGGATGTGTGCTATTTGGAGAGGCCCAAGAAATTATCTGGTTTAAACCCTTGGGCCTGAAAATTTGACTGCGTCATTATTTTTTTAGTCCATTTAGATTAAGCAGTGGTTTTGAGAACCTGGGCTCAGTTGCTTTGGTTTGAACTCCTATTTCCAGCCTTCTGCAGGGCAGGTTTGGAAGCAAGATATCGTCAACTCGGTGTGGGGCGCAGGACCATGTGCTTCCCAGCCAGGGGCACTACATTTAGAGAGTAAGGAAGCAAATATCTCTTGAGTATTCCGAATCGGATACCACAGAACTAAAAGGACTTGGGAATTAATTGGTGCTCAGAACAGGCAGGCGAATGAACTCCGCCTCCGGGCTGGACTCCACCTGGGAGCAAGGCTAGAGCAAGAATTGATCCCTGACCTCAGTCCAAGCCTATAAACCAGGGTTTTTGTCTACAGACTTGGTTTTCTCCCCAAATAAAAACAGAAATGGGTGTAGACGCCCAGCCCTTGGGCTCACTTGGCTGATGGGGATCGAGAAGGATGTGAAAAGCCTCCTTAGCCCAACCTGACTTCAGCTAGCAGGGCAGGCACTGGAGGTTTCAAGATCCCAGATTTATTATCTGGATTTCCAGGGTTCTTGCCACCCGCCCCCAACTCCAAAGCTCCAGGAATTCTGCAATCTGAGTGTGGCTGAGACTTGGGCAGAGGAAGGCAAGGACATCAGTCCCCTCCAGAAGTGTGAGAATGGTCCTCAGCATGCCAAGGACAAGGTCCAGGGAAGAGGATCTGGGCACTCTCTGGATCCTGGTCCCCAGGTCCCCAGGCAAAGTTTCTTCCCTTCCTCCTCAAAGGTTTTCTAAAGTGAGTTCAGTGTACTTATATATATATTATAGTTGATGGTTCAAGCTTGGAAACCCTATACAGAGTCGCTCTGGGTCGAAATTGACAGCACTTAACATATTATAGTTGATGTTTTAAATTTACCACTAAACATTCAATCAATCAGTAGACTTTTTTTTTTTTCTCAGTAAACATTATTGTCTGCTTGCTCTGTGCCAGGCACAGTGTAGGGTACTGTGGATTGGCTATTAAGACAATTAATGTGCCTCTGCAGCCTGTGGAGATGCTTTCGACCAGACACGGAGGAGCCTCCTATTCTTGGAGGGCTAAATTGAAAGATTAGGTATGCTCGTAGAGATTACTGTATGCAACAGGCAGTTTGTGGCAGAACTGGAAATGGAACCATGATAGGTTCCATTTCTGTTTGTGTTTACTTCTCTAGAGACCTTGGCCCCGCTGACTAGACACTGAACCCACTGTAGTAGGTATGAGGACTTGTCAGGGCAGAAGTGAGGCTGAGGTGGAGGTAGGTAGGCATCTGGGTCATACCAGAATAAATGCGTGTCTGAGGAGAAAAACACGATGTTTTGGTAGTCAGCCCCTGAGCCACCAGCTCTCTTGGTGCTCAGAACGAGACCTTGGTATCTCCAGGCTCACCCTCGGGTCTCCCGGGGAGGCCAGCTCAGCCCGAGGACCAGGGGCGCCCCCTCCGGTCACTCAGGAGAGGGTATCATTGTAAGCAATCATACACTCTCCTGCTGAGCATGATCCAGGCTGAGTCTGGTGTTACCCACCCCTTAGCTCTCCGGGGCAGGCAGGGACCGGCGTTTCCGGGCTCCTCTGCAGTCCGCGGGCGGGAGAGGGAGGCACTGAGCGTGTTCTCGCCTATCGGTGCGGTCAAGGTTGCGTTTCCCTCCCTGTCGGAGACTAACCGTGGGAAAGGCACTACCTTGGCCGCTAGAGCCTTTCCCTCCAAGGTCTGTACAAGGAGCCTTTGAACACGCTGCCCCTTCTAGCCAACAGCTGTCCCTCCCCCGGCTGCCGCCTCTGATCTCTCGGTGCCATGGCCGTCGCGGGGTGCTGGACAGCGCGTTCTAATCAGTTCTGTTCCCGATAAGCTCCTAATTAAGAGAACCCTTCTTCCTCTCCGCAGGGCTCCTTCACTTGAACACTGTTGATCCCAGGAAGGGGGTTTAAGGCTGGCCTCTGGCCGCCAGAATCTAAGTGTCTTATCTGGGAGGGGGGTTTGGGAGCCTTGCTTGGCATTGGCAGCCAGCCTTGGGCCGGAGTTTGGGGCACCGAGGCGAAACGGCCCACGCGGGAAATGCAGAGCGCTGACAGTTGCAGAGCCCACCTCTAAGGACCACGAGTTGCTCATCAGCTCAGGAATGGAGACGGGTTCGTCTAGAGGCACTTTATTTGTCGCTTCTAATTTACCTGCCCCTTTATTTTAAAAATATCCTTTCAGACATTCGATTTTCCCTCTGGGTGAAATTAAGCAGCCGGAGCCAAATTTCGTTAGCAAAGCGGATGAGTAGGCCTCAAATTGGGCCAGGCCTCCGCTCCCAAAATGAAGTCGCTAAGAGAGCTCACAACTGAGAGCTGTTTGGGCGGGAGTTATCTTAGGCGGCAAGAAATGAAGGACCTCCGGGGTCAGGGAGATTAAAGCAGGTGGTGGCTTCTTGAGTCGTCAACCTGCAGTGCTTGAGGTCTGGCATGTGCTGGACTGAAATTTAAGACCGCCCCGCCTCTATCCCCTGATCCCCACTCTGAGCCATCAAACTTTGGCCAGTGCCTCTTTTGCCCAGGAGCGAGGATTGAAGCTCAGGATTTGTTTGTGTTTTGTTTTGTTTTGGGCGCTTGTATGAGAATTGTCTACCATGGTGGCTTAAATTTTTGCGGACCTTGTTGCAGACCGTGCCAGGAGCAAGAGTGGAGGAATGGGGACCTCTGCTGAAAATAAGCTGGGGCTTGGAAACCCTGAGTAGTGTCTGGCTCAGGGGAGTTGGGACTTGCACGGTGGTGGAGGACACAGAGGGCAGGTATCACGTCCTGGCTACTCTTCTTCCCACATCGGCCTGGATTTCAGACTTGTGGAATTTGGGCTCCGAGACTAATCCTTATTGAACTCGAGGGTGCTTTTCGCGAAAGAGTAACAACAGTTTTCCAGAAGCAACTTAATAACAACCAGGAGAGAGCACCTCTTTCCTTTTCCCATCTTCAGAGAGGTGTGGAAGAGCAAGGCTGTAGTGTCTCCGCCGAGAAACTGAGGCAGAGGACCTGTACATGGCATGTCCAACATACTCTGAAAGACAAGTAAGGGCTGCGGTGAGAGGGACGTTGTCAGCGTAGTAGTGGTCATAACCAGACCCGCTGGGCGCCAGGTGTGCCCAACGGTGCAGGGTCGAGGCCCGTGGACCGAGCTGGAAGGGCCCCTTACCAGCTTTCCCGAGGATCTCCAGCGTAGTGGTGTCGGGTCGCGCCGCTCCAGACAGATAACACTACTTGGTCATTATTCTTCCTCATTGAAAGCCCAAGCCTCTTAACTGGCCCCGAGTAATTAATGAAAGTTGGTGCGCAGGCCCCTGATTTACGGCTCGAGTCAGCACAGGGTCAGCGGAGCAGATTCATTTCGCTCGCCCGCGCTGCCCGGGCGCAGGAGCCACGGTGTTTGTTTTTTGGGGAGAACAATTTTCTCCGCCGAGCAGGCGACGTTTTTTATACTTAACTTGCCAAGGGGGTCGGTGCGGAAACGGCAGTCACAGTGAAAGACGACAGTGTAAATAAATTGGGAAGTGGCCCAGGAGGTCAGGATAAACCTGTGTCCCGAAGTCATACCTCAGGACTTGGGGCCTCCCGTCTTCCCCCCCGAGAAAGTCCTGGAGGCTGGGGCCTGGTTGCCGGCGCCGGGGATCTGAATGGTTGGTTGGGGTAGGGAGGAGGGCACTCCAACGCCCGGGTTTTCCCCAAACCCCGCTGACACTATGCTTTTCCACGTCGTGCCCGCAGGATACAGCACAGTCACCTTCGACGGGACGCCCAGCTATGGTCACACAGCCTCACATCATGCGGCACAGTTCCCCAACCACTCCTTCAAGCACGAGGACCCCATGAGCCAGCAGGGCTCTCTGGGTAAGGGTCAGGAAAGATTTGGGTGTTACTTCCCCTTCTTCTGCATGGCCCTCTAGGAATTTCTAACACTTGTCAGAAAAGGGCTTCCAAAGAGACTTTAGAAAAAATTAGCTCAGTCCCAGAAACGCCAATTCCAATTTATTTCTGAGTTTCCCATTCCTCAGTCCTACAGCATGTGAAGAACACTGCCCAGGCCCGCAGGACTTTTCGCACAACCACGCGGTGAATGCTAAGGACATAGGTGGGACGTTCAAGTCGTGGTCACCATCTGGATGCTGTCGCTGCCCTTCTGGCGATCCAGGCTTTCAAGCCTCCAAGTTAGCCTAGGGGCCAAGCCCAGGATGAAGATTTCCCTAAACCACATCTCCGAGGTCTTGCACCCGGGGTTCTCTGGCGCGCTCACCCTGCCCTCCTTGACTCTTTGCAGGCGAGCAGCAGTATTCCGTGCCGCCTCCGGTCTATGGCTGCCACACGCCCACCGACAGCTGCACAGGCAGCCAGGCCCTGCTGCTGAGGACGCCCTACAGCAGGTAAGGCACCATGTTGGGCTTCCCTGCATCCCGGAGGGGGCTCGGGAACGTCGGACGCGGGTCAGCTCGGACCACGGTCGTGCAGGGCGTGGGCTGCACAGGGCGCCTCTAGCCCACCCCACTCCTTACAGCAAATGAAGTAGATCATCTCTCCGCTCTGATTTGAAAGAAGTTTGTTTCTGTGCCTCTTGGTAGTTCTCATTTCAAATACTGCTCAGAGCAGCAGAAGGAACGGCGCTCTGAGAAGTTACTTTCTGCAACGGTCTTTTCTTGGGAGGATTTTAGCTTTCTTTCACTCTGTCTTCTCATTTCCCAAACCCCATCGGCCCAGACTCTTTCTGGACCACTCCGAGGGCGCGCCCCTCGGACCACAGGCTGATTCCCTCCCTGTTCCCCAGTGTCCCCAGCCACGCTTGCATTAGGGGTGTCATTCCCAGCGCCTCGATGGTGGCTGGTGCGGGCCCAGGACTGGTCACATCAGTACCCTGTGGGGAGATTGGGCCAGCTGGCGCGGGCCTTCCAGTTTACGGAAGGCAGCAGATCAACTTTTTGTGTTTTTTCTCCCACCAAACGTTTTTCCCGTCGCTTTTTCCTTCTCTCGAATCTAGTTCTCCCTTCCCCTTCTCTCCCCAAATTTATTCTTCAACTTTGGGTGAACTTGGCGGGTGTCCCGCGCCTCCGATAGGGTTGCTTAGTAACTGTAGAGCACACACCGGCCCGCGCCGGTTGGGAAGGTGGGGAGGGGCGAGGGAAGTGGCGGCGCGCTACCTTTGCCGCCCCCATTGGGCGCACATTACCTCATTGCCCCTCCCCCGGGGTGCTGCGGGGATCCTGATACCGACAGCCCCAAACACATCCCCATCTCCTCCGCCCCTTCGCGCGGGGACCGGGGGCTGACGTCAAGGGAAGGAGGCAGTGAGGTAATGAAGGAAGGAAAAGCGTCTGCCCTGGGAGATTGGGTGGGAGAATGGCCGCGTCTGGGGGACCTCCGTCCCACAGGTGGAGGAAGGGCGGCAGTCTTCGCAGGGGCGCATCCCAAATGCCCCTGTTGGGTTTATGAGATTGCACTGAGACTAATCCGTCTTCTCTATGGGGAGCTCTCCCCACTGGGAATTCCCAGAGAAGTACAGGACTGCACGCGTTCTGCTTGTGTGCGCCCAGAGCTCGGGGCCTTTGGAAACCTTGCCTTTTCCCCTGAAAACCTAGAAGATCTAGTTGGGTCTCCGAAATCGGAATCGTATTTCTCTCTGTCTTCCCCTTCCACTTTGTTTCCATCTGAAATTGGGGCATTCTCAGAAATTTTTGCTTGAATTTTGTTTTCCTTGTTGCATCTGACCCCTGAGTGTGCCTGGCCAGATTTAATCTCTTCCCCCTCAAGCGTCTGTCTCCTCAATCTTGGGATCTAGTCTCCTCTCTCAGCCTGAAATCAAGGTAATGGTATATACATTGTTCGTTTATCAAGCCCATTTTTGTCTCATGTGATCCGATATAACAGAGTACAGCTGCCCCATAGACCTTTTCTAGGATGTAATCTTTATAGGAGCAGATCCCCAGGGCTTTTCTCCCGTAAAGCTCCTGCGTGGGTTAGAACCACCAAGATTTTGGTTAGCAGTGGAGCATTGAACCATTGTGTTACCATTGCACCACCAGTGGCCCTTAATGGTTTGTATACCAGCACTGAATAATCTCTAGAATGCATGCTTGCTTAGAGGAAAGTCTCAAAATTTGAGTTCATTCAACAAGTCTCTCGTCTCAAGTAACAGAACTGAGGGGTTCTGACTGCACATATATGTGTATGGATGTGAGTAGCAGTGAGTAGAAATTGCTTTATGGGAAGTGACATTAGTCCACCCATCTTCTTGGCTACTACACCATGAAGAAGATGGACAGAGTTGTGTCTAAAGACCCCTAGCAATCCTAGCTGGATAAAAGCAGGAGCCTCTTTAACACTATAACTAAAGTTTATTGCATGCTCACCATTGTGTTAAAATTTTCACTCATGGCTTATTTAATCCTTTTGACTATTTGATAAGCATGTTGTTGTTAAGTGCCACTGAGTTAGTTACAACTCATAGCACCCTTGTATAGGATTTCTGAGGAGCAGTTGATGGGTTTGAAACTCCAACTTTGTGGTTAGCCTTCCAGTGCTTTTCTTATAACGCCACCCAAGGACCCCACTTGATGAGGGTGGGTGCGGTCATGTGATCTCTACCAATAAGGAAACATGGTAGTGGTGATGTGCTTTGGAGCCCGTTCCAACTCATAGCGACCTTATAAAGCCTCTTCTTTCTTTTGGGAATGGCTAGTAGTTTCGAACTGCTGATCTTTAGGTTAGCAGCCCGACTCATAACCACTATGCTACCAGAGCTCGTTATATCATATGTTGTTGTTGTTGTTAAGTGCCGTCGAGTCGGTTCCGACCCATAGCGAACCTGTACAGGGTTTCCGAGGGTGTAAATCTTTACGGGAGTAGAACCGCGACCTTCTGGTTCACAGCCCGATTCGTAACCACTACGCTACCAGAGCTCCTTATAGCAAGTGAGAATAAAAGCCAGGATTTGATCTTCTCTCTGTCTGACTTCCAAGTCTGTCTCTACTCTGACCTACTTAGGGATTCCTTATTCCTCCAGTGTCCACCCTCTTGGATTTCTCCCTTTATAAAATGCCTCCTACTGGAGAAGCACGGTGGCTCTGTGTGAAAAGCACTGGTCTTCGAACCAAAAGGTCAGTGGTTCAAGACCACCAGCTGCTCCTTTGCTGCTGCAAAGATTTACAGTCTAGGAAACCCTATATAGCAGGAGTGGGGAACCTTTTTTCTGTCAAAATGTATTATCATTTGTGGGCCATACAAAATTGTTAACTTAAAAATTAGTCTGATATATTTGGTCAAACATTTAATTAACTCACCCCTTTGGAGTCCTGGTGTGGCCCCGTGGGTTAATGCGCTGGACTGCAAAGTTGTTTGATCTGCAAGGTCAGTGGTTCAAGCTCACCAGCCTCTCCTTGGAAACCCTATACAGGGTTGGAACTCACTCGACAGCATTTAACAACAACAACAACAACAACAATGTGATGGTTGGAGTCCTGGTGTGGCACTGTGGGCTAATGCGCTGTACTGCAAAGTCGTTTGAACCACAAGGTCGGTGGTTCAAGCTCACCAGTAGCACCTTGGAAGCCCTATACGTGGGCCGGAACCAACTCTGTGGCACTTACCAACAATGTGATGTTTGGAACTGCAGTTGCCTTGGCAGGGCCAGGCCACCCCTGCTATACAGGATCACTGTCTGTTGGAACCCACTTTACAGCACTTAACAACAGCAACAACAAAGCCCCTACTAGGCACATTTGCTGATTAGTAGAGATTTACTACTTGTCAGGCACCTGGCAATGCAATGGTTAAGTTCTTGGCCGCTAACAGAAAGGTTGGAACTCAGTCCTACCAAGTGACACCTGCCAGTCAGCTTTCCTAAGGATTACAACCTAGAAAGCCTTAGGAGGAGTTCTATACTGTCACATGGGGTCCTTAATGAGTAAAAGTCGACTCAGTGACTCCCCAGCACCAGGCTTTTACAAGTACAGGTTTCCCCCACTATCTGAAGGTTGAGCATTCCTGTGAAACCATTCTTAAACTGAAATAACGCAAAGTGAAGACACAATTACCATTAATTTATATGGAAGATATGGTTGAGCATTTTCAGACCCAAAATGAACCTACCAAACCATACCAAGTAACATATACAATGTAAAATAACACAGACATATAGTAGTCACAAACAAAGTTCAAAGCCATGATGATTTGATGTTGAGGTGCTGAATGCAGTTTCCCCAGGGAAGGAGCTTGGTGGTCATTCTCTCTGTTGCTCCGGGGGTGTGCAGACTTTTAATGGCCTGCTGCAAAACAAACATTGAACGCTCATTTGCATTTCTTTTCACCTTTTGTCATAAAACCAAAAATCTTCTTTAGAATTTTTTGGGTTGGCCAAAACAGTCACTAATATTGTTGTTAAGTGCCATCAACTGGGTTCCAACCCATAGTAACCCTGTATAGGGTTTCCCAGGAGCAGCTGGTGAGCTTGAACCCCACTGACCTTTGGTTCAAACAACTTTGTAGTCTAGCGCATTAGTCCACAGCGTCATACCAGGACTCCAGGCACTCATGTAGGCCTTTCCTAAAAGCAAAGTGACAAAACAAACTTGGAGAAGTTCAGGATCTTGTATTGACTCATTTCAGTAATATAAAGATTAATAATGTACAAAGGGCCTTCAAAACATTTGTGAAAATGGGGGAACTGATCTCCCCCGCCCCCAGTTAATTTGCCCAATATAACACAGTAAAAGGTGGAGCTTGTATTCAAACCAGGAGTTGAGTCTTCAGAATCCATCCTCTTACCGTTTGCTGCTTGTCTTCATGGCTGTCATTCTCTTTCCCAAGGTGGCATCTTCTCAAAGTCACAGAGAAAGTTTTTTATTTCCCACAGTTGTGAAAGAAGCCGCATTATCCGTTAGTTTTACCCATAGTTTTCCCTACAAAACACTTAGTAGTTTGAGGACTAGTACTTTTACTGGTGGGCATTATTGGAAGTGTACTTAAACTTTCTCTTGAGGCTCTAACTCACAAAGCAGCCTTCCTCCAAACTCCAGGCTCTCCAACCTCACCTTTACCAATGGGTGTGAACTGCTGAGGTGAAGTTCAGTCCAGACACCTAAAAAATCCCAAGACAGAGAGACCTCTCGTCCCCTTCCATTCCCACTCTCACATAGGGGTGGAGCGTGGAGGGGGGGGTGGGCAGGGAGGAATAACTGCTTTAGGTTGATATGTGCTTCTTCTGAGACATGACTCCAGGGGAGGGGAAGGTGGCTGGCCAGGCTAGCTAAGTCAGACCTCACTTAGCACTTTCTAGTGGGCTCTTCTCTCTCCTCTCTCTCTGAGCCCTCTTCTACAAGTTTCATCTGCTTCTACTGCTAGCTGACCTCCTTAAAACCGTCGAGCCCTGATTATG